TTTTTTTTTTAATATTAGTATTGCAAATAGTCGATAAATAACCAAAATTTGGCAATTATTTGCAATGAAAATGAGGATTAAAAAAGCCGTTCTCCTTCAGTGTTCTCCTCTTCAAACAAAAAAAAGTAATCATTAACATTTAGTGAATATATAAATTTTTTTTTCTTTTTAAAAGGCCAAAATGTATCAAAATAACAATTGTGGCAAATTTGATACTTTTTTCCTGCCCCTTCCCCTCCCTCCCCTCCCCTCACCTCCCTCCCTCCCTCCCTCCTCCTCCTCCTCCTTCCCTCGTCTCCCCGGCCTTTCTCCCGTATTTTTATCCACTAAATACACGAAGCATCTGTTGAAGCAATAAACAACATTAACACCATCAGCAGTATCAGCACCGCCACTACGGCCATCATCGCCATCATCATCAGCTTCATCTTGGCCATCCTTAATCGTTGTCATCATTGTCTAATTAGTGTCGTCGTTTAGTCAATGTTCCAAGAGTATATTTAATGGAAATTACTTGATTTGTTTCATGATGGTCAACATCAATTATTTTTTCCTTACCAATAAACAGCAATAAAAATTTTCCTTTTCTTTCTTCCCTTCATTCTTTTAACCCAACAAATTGACATAGCAACGACAACAGCAACAGCATTACCACCACCAAAGCAGCAGCAGCAGCAACAACAAAAAACAAAAAACATTTTATATTAAATTATTTATATTACAAAAATAAACCTACAAATGATAAGAACAATGTTTTTCTTTCCCTTCTGACATATTATTGATATGCAGACGAAAAAAAACCACAAAAACAATATGAACTTAAATTATGATGGATTATTGTTGTTTTTTGTTGTTGGTGTTGCCAAAAACAATAACTATCAGATATTTCCAAACAATACAGCAATAAATTTTAGTTTGAAGAAAGAAAGATGAGAAAAAACAATAGAGTAATTTATAAAAGAAAGCATAAAAATTGTTTTAGTAATCTAAATTTTTGTTTTTTAATCTTTTTTTTTTTTTTATTAATCACATTTTTTTTTCTTGTACTGTTTTCATTTTTCGTTCTCTCTTTTTTTTGTTATTCTATTTTTTTACTGTTAGACTAAGTAAACAGTTGTCGATGAATTGGTTCTGATGAGAATCCAACCGAAAACCTATAGATTTTGTTGTCTTCTTGTCTTTTTTTTTTCTTATTCGGTTGTCTGTGCTGTTTTATTAAAATAAATTTATAGCCAAGACAAAAAAAAAAGAACAGGACTGTTGCCAGTTGGCGTTGTTTGATCATCATCGTTATCACATCAGTATCAGTATCAGTATCAGTATCAGCATCAGCATCAGAATCATCATCTTTTGAGTGTTCATCAACTATTCATCAAATAAACCTTAACTAAGAACAACAACTAACAGCTTTGTATTGTTAAAAAAAAAAAAAAAA